AATATCTATAACATTATATAACAATTTGGTTGAATAAGTTTCGTACGAAATGTAATGTTTCCAGTTCTTTTAGGTTTTATTTTTACATATTTTTAGTTTAATATGTAGTTTATGTTTGATAGAAAACTAAATTACTATTTGTATAATCAAAATGTCATTAAACAAATTTCATAAAGATAAACGTGTATTTAAACACTCAGAATTACAAACTGATTTTTTAAACAATAAAAATTTATCCATTGTGATATATTGCTCGTCCAAAAGTCTGTTATCATGTTCTCGTTACTAATTGAAGTAGTTTCCGGCGCCCAATAGACAAACACATACAAATGCATCTGTTCACAAACATGTTTATTTCATTTAGAATAATGATAATGTTTTGTCATATTTCACGAACAATTGACATTTCGTAAAGGAGATAATCTGGAGCTATTTCCTGAAAGACTACTTGTTATGTTCTTAAGTATAAAATGATTATCGATCTACTATCTGTCGTATAAACGTTATTTATTTGAAACATCATATTGGGAGCACAGGCATGAGTATCGGACCTGGGAAGAAAATATATGACCTGATTGATAATAAAACCTTTGTTCATCTTAAAAGTATCAAAAACCAAAAAAAATGTAAATAATGTCCCCCTTTAAAAATATACTATAAGTTAAGAGAAGACCGGAAACTCCAGATTCGAGCCTACGAGCAAGGGATTCATTTCACGGGCTGTTGTGAAAACAATTGGCAAGACAATTAAAAACACTTTTATCACTATTTCACGTTTGTATTATGCTTCCAAATGAGACCGACCATAAGTCTCTAGCCCTTTCCGTTCATGAAATCTATCAGGAAACGAGCAAATTCGTGCTAAAAATCCTTGGTAGACAGAATGGCAGCACAACGATTCGGTACGTAATACATGTTTGTCAGCTGAGTACGGGTCAAAATCACTTTAATTTACTAAATACTATTACTAAATACATTAAGTTGGACCACTCACAACCGTCAGTAGCATCGGTCTAGAGACTTGGGGTCGGTCTTATTTGGAAGCATAATACAAACCTGAAATAGTGATAAAGGTTTTTTTTTTTAATTGTCTTGCCAACTGTTTTCACAACGGCCCAAGAAATGATTCCCTTGCTCGTAGGCTCGAATCTGGAGTTTCCGGCCTTCTCTGAACTTTTAAAGGGGGTCATAATTTACATTTTTTTATTGGTTTTTGACACTTTTTATTAAAAACACAGTTTTTTTATCAATCAGGTCATATATTTTCTTCCCAGGTCCGATACTCGTGCCTGTGATTTGGAGTTATTAAATTTGCAAATGCCGGAGTTTATGTTTAGTATATATCAAATGATATTGCTAACAATTTCAATTGATATGTCTTCGTTTAATTTGCCAAACCAATTCCAATATAACATTATCCTTTTATATTACATTTTTTTTTAAATATTCAATAGACCAAATATTCGTGTATTACTAATATTGAAAAACGGCTGGTTAAATATAAAATCAAAACCGATAGTAAAGGCGTACCACTAAGTAATGTATTAAATGCATATTTTATTGTTTATTGAATATCCACTAGCCGACAATAATATTTTGCATATAATACTTTTGGCATTAAAATGTTAACGAATAACGTGTATTTTTGTAGAGAGTTTGGTTGTTCGAGGCAACCTGAGGTTGAATGGTAAACATGTATAATACGATCGAACTATACGGAAAAGAAGAATATGAAGTTTATCTGTGCTATATTCTTGTTTACTTAGACATTTTAGCGTATTTTGCAAAATGAAGGCTTCATCTACAATATTATATCTGTACATAGTTCTCTGCATAAGCTGCAGAGTTTGCGTAATTTTAACATTTTGATACATTATATTGATTGTTTACTACATTTGTACAACACAACAGTATTTATACCATATTATTCTCTACAAAAAAATATATTCTCAATAACAAGCAATAATATCAAAAGATAAGTGATATTTGTTTTCAAACAAGGCGTCAATCGCACTAAATGAAGAAAAATGATATAACTTTATTCAAAGATTTTAATAAAGTATTGAACACAATATAACACAATATCCTCTTTATTCGCAAAATAACAGCAGGTCAGTTACAAATTGCATTCCCAGTTATAGTGTTTCTCTTGACGGCCGACTTAGCAATCTCCTTAACCCTAGAGATGATGAAAATTGTCAACATCTTTCTGCTGTTTATGTCTCTTTTTTATGGCTGATTAAATCTTGAAATACTACCTAAATCAGGCTATTTGATTAATTTGTTCATTTGTTGAGAAATTGCAAATGTGTCTAGAAAACATTTTTAGTGTTGTCAAGTACAGACTATATATTTATAAGCTGATGATTTGTTTTTGTTTCCTTTATAATGCAGGACATTCACCTTAAACGCAGTAGAAATGTCAAATTTAGAAATTAGCTCTTGAAATTACATTTCACTTACCAACCCTTCTTTTTTGTCCACCGAATAAAGTATGCATTGTACCTATTCCTTAAAAATCTCACAAAATCATTGCATACTAACAATTTTGTTGAATAAAGTTCATACAAAATGTATTTTTTTCAACTTTTTTTATGAATATTTTTTACATAATTAAAGTTTAATATGTAGTTTATGTTTTATAGAAAACTAAATTACTATTTGTATAATCGAAAATGTATTCACACAAATATCATAAAACAATATCATAAATATGAACGTGTATTTATACACTGTCTCAGAATAACAAACTGCTTTTAACCAATATAAGATATCAATTGTGATATATTCGCCTGTTATCGTGTTTTCGTTAGTAATTGAAGTAGTTTACGGCGCCAAACAGACAAACATTATGTTACAAAGGCATCTGTTCACAAACATGTTTATTTCATTAAGAATAATGTTTATGTGTTGTCATATGTCATAAACAAATGACAAAATTTCGGAAAAGAGATTATCTGGGGCTATTTCCTACAACACTACTTGTTATGTTCGAAAGTATGCATATATCATGACATTTGATAAAATACGTTTTGATCTAATATCTTTTTTATAAACATTTAATTTAGTTATTTCAAACATCATATGGGGAGTTATTAAATTTCCAAATGACGAAGTTTATTTTAGATCAAATAATATTGCTTACAAATTAAATTGATATGTATCCGATTAATTTGCCAAACCAATACCAATATAACATTATCCTTGGATATTATATTTCCTTTCCAATATTTGATAGACCAATCATTCCTTATTTATCTAATGGAGATAAAGAATACTGCAGCACATTATTTAATTTTGGTTAAGTGAATTACGCTATCCAATGTACTTGTTTTCCTTTCTAAATTTGCATCTTTTGTTCTGGAAACCGTCTCAATTTAAACAAAATTAATAAATTTATACAGCTGTGTCCTCTCAGAAAGATATAATCGTGTACAAATCCTAGAGCGAATAAAACACGCTGATCAGACTGCAGATGTGGACAAATATTATATAGGATGATTATAAAAAAATGAGGTCATTTGAAAAAAAGGAAATTAAAGTTTATATAGATAAAACCGGAGATTTTTTTATTAAGTCTTCTTAAGGAAGACAATGAAAAACGGACAGTGCAAACTTTCTAACGTAATAACAACCAAAGCAATTTTAAAATTTACCATTGAAAATATATGTAATGGAACCAAAGATATTTGAGAACTTCGGAATATAATGAAACGTAGATAAAATACATAAGAAATCAACATCTTTTTATTTAACATAAGTTATTTTAAATTAAATTATCAAGCGAAGTAAGATCCTTCAGAGCAATGCAAAACATTTACTACTGTAATATTGTTTAGATCAGTAAAATTGATTGATAAAATTTACACTACACAAAAACATCTCCGAACATTTCTTCCTCAGTTTTAAAAAAGATAAATGCACTTTTAGCTAATAACAGTGATTTTGTCTGTCAGTAAATGTGATAGTATGACAGTTACTTCGTATCCACGTTGGCTATTAAAAGTAATGATTTCTTACGTGAATTATCTTCTTTAACGTCAGACCTTGCTTAAGATATTAGACAAAGATCTTTTAAAATTCATTTACATTTAGTCATTGTCGGTAAATTACATATAATGCAGTATTGTTTACCAAGTCCATCATGCGAATGATTTTATATCGTAAATATAAATGCTAATATACATTATATACGGACTGACTTTGAAACTAAATCTTAGTTATCCAATAGAAAAAAATATTTCACGTCTGAAAATAGATGAGTTTACAGAACATCAATAAGACAAATGCTTTACTGTGTTCAGTCTGAACAATTCGTACATCAGACACTTTCTGGATTGAAACGGATTGTTATTTCATTTGACTGAATTGCTTAATGTGGCAAACAAATTCAGCTCAGTCTAACTGATTATGATTGATAGACTCACATAATTTGTACAAGTATGTTAAATTATGGTAATTAGACTTTTAATAAGGTAAAATATGTTGTTGTTTTTGCACTGTATCTGTACTATTTCATTTCCAATCCAACAAGAAGTGGTTTACATTTTCGGATTTCTTTACTTTTTAAACAGGAAAACATTTATTACAATTCATGGTCGATATCTTGTTATTCCTTACCTCCGACTTAAAGATAAAAATTGCACTTCAAGCTAATAGCAATCAGTTTGTCTGACGGACAATAAGCGTTTTACCATTTTAGCTATCTCTTCCTTTTTAAACAGGGAAAAACATCGGGTTGTGTTTGTATCACAAATCAAATCAATATAAAGCCGTAAACCCTGATTCAATATATGATGGAAATGTAAATATGAAATTAGTTCCAGATAATTAGATCTAGAATTGTTTGAATATATGCAATTATATATCAGAAATGCCATATCGGTAATGTTGATATTTATAGTGAGTGTTTTCTCCAATAAAATATATTCGTGCGAGATATTGGTTTTCCCTAGCTATCTTAAAATTCATAACTCCGTCATTCACTGGAGAGTTTGTTTCAAATCAACGGCTGACAAAGTAAAAAATTGTATGAGCAATTACCATCCTGATAATTTTGAAATAATCATACATTTGATGAACAGTTCTTGAACTTAAACAGCACCGCAAATGAATATTAATACCAAGTTGGAGGAATACAAAATGAGACGGACATGAAATTATAAAAAATAACTCGCTATGCTATGTGACAGTGCTAACTACACTTTTACCATTTATATGTGTGACACGACAATGAGACAGAAGTGAGTAAAATACAGTTTGTTGGTACATCTTCCAAAACATTTTGTTGAATATAAAATAGGTATTTTTATTGAAAATATTTACTTGTTATGATCTTCTTTGATTTAGTATCATTTTTTAATAAATGAAATATTTATGGCGATGACTGTGTCAGGTCATGATGCCTTCTTATTGTATTTTCGGTCATAAAAGTAATTTTAGAATTTCTTTAAACTTTAATTTGCTTCCTATCTGATGATCGTAGACTCTATATAAATATGGAATACCATCAACTAGGTAATATTATAAAGAATGTTAACTGACTTAAACATAGTGTCACAAAATAAACAGAAATAATTTATTACCAATTTATCACTTTTTTGTGTCGAGCAAAGCAGTTACAAGCTCGTGAATTTTCTAATATCAGAACATAAAAGTGCACATTTAATTGGCTTGTGAGAAAGTTCAGAGATGTAAACTTAAACCCACTTTGTTTGATTTTGTTTTCTGAATATCTACTACCTCCAACATTGTTCGATTTAAAATAACTGACATTTTTCCAAATGTTTGACAACCGGCTAGACTTTAGTAAACTCTAGCAAAATGAAATTTGTCAAATATAACTGTTACAAAGTAATATGTCTGTTGCAGAATAACATTGAATTAAACAAAAACTACCATAGACATATCAAGATTTTTTTTTTTTGCAAAATTACACTTTTTTGTATATGGACTTTACACTCTGAAATCCAGAAACACTACGCAATCTGTTGGTAAAAAGCATTACGGATATATATTTTAAAATTTTGCAGATACGACATTTAAAGCATAAGGAATGCATTATTGTTGAAGTTCATTGCATCTATGTTGTAGTTATGAAGGGTACCCAGCTAAATCTACCAGTGTTAGCAACGTGTCTGTTGTATGTCGGTAAGTTAATCATTTATTCAGTATATAAATGTAAAAATGAACAAGAAGAGAAAAAAATATTTAAAACAGCCATAGTTTCGAAAATACAGCCTATATACTGTTTTCAAAAATAAAACCTATATTTTTTTAGTTAAATTGTTCGATTTGTCAGAAGGATAAAGAGAAAAAAAATTGTTTCAATCCTGTAAAGTACGCAAATTTATGAATGATGTTGGCTATGAACAATGTTTGAACCAAACAGAAACGATATTCGGCCTTTAATTAAATTGAATGAGCATTTTTGAAAACAAATTAAATCTTATTTGATTTATCAAGTAATTCTTAGCTTTTTGCTGAATTAAACAAATTGTACAAATTAAACCTTATTTGATTAATCAATTGATTCTAGATTCTTTGCTGAATTAAGTTATATCAATTTGATTAAAAGAATACCATTCAAGTTTGAAGGGGTATACAACCAAGGCCTTATAAAATATAATCAAAACTATATAGCCGGCCTTGCTTTCCCCAATCATTTATTATGTTGTAACAACAGCTTTTGCAGTGTTTAAATTTCTTACTAAACAATCAATGATCTCGTATTTCAATGAGATCCCACATATGAAGTATTTCAGTAGTCCTAAAAGTCAAAAGACCAAGTTATTCTTTATTGAATACGTTAAACATTATTAATCAAAATATATTAAATTTTAATTTGCATTTTATTTATTTTTATGATTCAGTAAATGTTCAAAGCTTGCGTTGTTGGCATTGTATAGCGGAAGATTGTGCTGAAGATCCCTCTGACAATTACAAAGCTTCTGAAAAATTGTGTAATCCTGGACAATCTTGTCAGGTAAATATACAATAAAAAATCTAAATTAGTATTTTCATATGTAGTGTGATCATGAATGGCAGGGAATTCCCCAGGATTTTTTTCAGCGCTACATTTTTTAACTAGATTGGGGTGGGTGCGGGAGGGGGTCTTGACCAACATTTATATGGATTCAGCTACCTGAAGAGAATTAAGACTGAAATTAGGAATTGTCTTTCTGTTAAAGTTCTAAACTATCTTCTTGCCGTCTCCCTTCAAGGACCCCCATTAGAATCATTCAACTTTGAGAAGGCAGTCAAGGCATGGAAAGACAACAAACCTTGAAGACAGGCCCACTTTTATTGATGTTAATGAAGAAAAAACAACTGAAATATACTCATTTAAATGGGACACACATACATATAAATGTTGATCACATGTTGTGAACTTGTGTTTATATATAATTGTTTATTTATTTGAATTGTTGGATATGGAAAAAATTAATAATGAAAATTAAGAAAATGTTTATCAAGTGAAAAGCTTTCATTATTTGTTTAAAACAGCCCACAGCAGTATCTTGACACGTAAAATGGCAAAAATTTTCGACACGCGGTATGGGGGTCAAGACCCCCTCCCGCACCCACCCCCATCTAGTAAAAAAAAATGTAGCGCTTAAAAAAATCCTGGAGAATTCCCTGCATTATGGTATTGTAAAGTATTTCAATATATGAATAAAGATAAAAATAATTTTAAAATGAAATCAAATTTTCCGTCTTGTATAACAAAATACTTTAAAACGTCAATAACAAATTATGACCAATACATATGTTCTGTATCAAATTGCATGTAGTGCTTACAAACACTCTGTATCATCTAAAATATTGAAATGTAATTATTATATCGAATAAAAAATAATCATTAGCATTATCTAAAGCAAGCCATTTGGAATCAAGGATTTCAAAATAGAAAGTAAATCCTTATTTTATGTTTCTTCTATAAATTATTGATGAAAATCCGTATCATCAACATATATCATGGCTGTAAATGTTAATCATCAATATCGCTGACTCATTTACAAATTGCATTATTTCTAATCGTTCTTAAAAATAGAGTATATGGTAACAAGTTATTAAGGCTGTATGTTACGCTATAAATGAAAGGAACTTCTCTAGAAGATAGTGAATGACAACAAAATAATTACATTGTATATTTCTGGGGATTCTACTACTCTGAGGTAGTTGTAATTATATATCAAAAATCTTGAGGATTCACTTATTTATTTCGATAGAGGATAATTTTCAATTTCTACTGTAGTTGATATAGAGGATATTTGTTTAGTTCAGTGTGAGATCGGAATATATTTCACCGAGTGAGCACCAAAAGGTATATTTCACGAGTGGCGCAGCCACAAGTGAAATATTTACTTTTGGTGTTCACAAGGTGAAATATATTTCGATCTAACACTAAACTAAACAAATTTTCTTTTTATTATATGCAAATAAACGTTTTAAAAAGACATTTAACCTTATACTGAATGAAAAAGCGCGCTAAATAATAATACAACGTGACGTCATTTACGACGTCACGTCATTAAGTTGGTACCCAGTACTGTGCACGCTGGTATTTCACTAAAACAACGTAAGGGGCTTAAATTTAAAACAGTGAAATTATCAAAGTGGTTATTTTACTGTTTCAAACCAGTTTTTATATCACTGATATATTTCTATAAACCACCGAAAAGAATGTAATACAATTTTTTAATTTTTTATCTGGGTAGTCTGCATCATTGAGGTATTTTACATTCGGATATTTATTTTAACAGATGTCACTATATTTCTGACATCCAAAATTAATTTAAATATAATCCAAATAGTTAAATAGGGTCATTATTAGTAGTTAACTGAAGTTTCAATTTATTGCAATTTCTATGAAAAGTTAGTCTAAAACACCTTCTAGTAGAAATTAAATTATGTTTCTTTACGTACCTATTTTTCACGCAGATTGTAACATATTTTGATCATTTCTGGGCGGTATGTCCACCTAAACGGCTTTTCATGATATCTGACTACAAACTACCGCACATCTCAGTGACTTATTGACTACTTATCTTTAAATCAGCGACAACAACAACGATAATCAATGTTCAAGATAAATTTTCAGTGAAAAATTTGGCTTCGACCGATGACCGAACCAGCGATCCATGGATAACAAAGCCGACGCTCTTCTCTATTTAGTTAAGCGGTTTGTAAATCCATCCCAAACATTTTATATACCTGTTTGATAATTATATCATATTATATTGAACTGTGAGCTTTAAGCAATACAACAATTATCTGTATTTCAGAAAGTGTATTTTGAAATGTTAGAAGAGTCAGATGAAGGAAGACCCGTTGCTATGCATACTTCTACAGTTCGTGGCTGTTCAACAGACTGTATGGACAAAAATGACTTCACAAATTGTACGCATAAATTAAAGACATCACGTGGTTGTGTTCGGAAGGACTGTTGCAATGATGGGGATTTGTGTAACAGTACATATCAAATTTCATATAATTTTTATTCTGTGATATTTTTAATGTGCCTACATATTTAATTGAATACTTTCTGACACAGGAAAAGTGACTTCATCTAATCTGACTCCTAATGTTAGATATTCTGTAGCAAAAGCAAGTGTTTGTTTAGCTTTTACATAAACAAGAAGTACATGAATATGAAGCTTAGATAGTATAAAATTGTATTAAATTTACATTTCAATTGATTGTTACATGAATAGAAACAAATCAATTATCTCATTCAGTCTGATTATTTTTGTTTTGGTTGGAAATTAATCAAGCGTGATATCTAACATGTCAGTTTCTCCGCTTTATTGGCGTTATTGCACTACTGCTGCATAACATATATCAAACATCGTTAAATTGACAAATAGTGTTGAAAAGGTCTTATAATTAACATTTTTTTCCATTTCTTAAATATATTGCATATTCAGTTCAAGTTGTTTTTTAGCATTTAGCTCTGATCACAATGTGAATTTTATACATCACCTTAGGCTTCATCTCTGCATTTATTTCTATTAAACGTGAAGCAAACTAAAGTTCGTTTTATAAATACGTAGGTTTAAACTACCTTCATAATAGATAGCTAGTTGTACCGTTCCTTCGTACGCCTGTGAAAGTTCGTTTTCTTTATAGATGTGTTTTTTATAAATAAGATACCGTTGTAGATGTTTATATTTTCTCAGGCCAATGTTAATGCATTGCGAGTTAACCACGGTATATATATTCCGTACATACTACATTATCGTTTACTAATCGAGGTTCACAGATCTTAATGAATACAAAAAGGCAACATTAAATCACTTCATATACGTAGAAGTTATTTATTATACTTAAGGAATTGTCTATAACAAATGAAAAGCAAGTCTGGTGACGTTTTTTTTGTTCATTTAGCACTCATACTACAAAGGAAACAAAATATTCCTTCCGTGTTAGAAAAGCTTTCTTTTTTTCTTATGAAATTTCTTATGAAACAACATTTCATGTACCAGAAGATGATATGGAATCAACAAAGGTAGAGAAATATGATCAAATAAGATATTATACATCCGATAGATATGTAGTATTATGTAGTAGTAGAAATACCACCAATAAAAGATCAAAGTGAGCATCTTACCTTTAACATTAATCAGTATGTGAGCTTTCTCAATTATTTCTAACAAAATCAACCAGTTGCGTGTGAAAATAATATTCAATATTTCACCCCAATATAAACTATCATACAATTAATTGTGATGTATTTGTATGTCAATGCTGATTCGTTCATAGGATTAACAATTCAATTGTTCAGACTGAAAGTAATTTGTCCAAGTGATCAGCTGTCACTTGCGTACATTTATTTCAATTTACAAAAACGTCATTGTAAATAAAAACGATCTGACTTAACCATACATTAGTGTATCATCACTTTCACTTGGCGATCATTCTCTTATAAGATTTGTTAAAAAGAAATCACGAGGGAACACTTTCCCAACAAAAAGCCCTCTTGCCATTGTTTATTTAGCGGGCCAATTATCTTCTTCGGCACCTACTCTGCCGTTTCTAAACTTATCATTATTCCTTATAAATTAAGTATCGGTACTTTATTATTCAATGCTTACCTTTATCGAGTTTTACATACAATTATTAAGAATCACAAATTAAAGAAATGAAATAAATAACCCATTGCGGAACAACTTTATGGATACTTAACGATTCTTACATTTTCCTTAATACGTTCCAATAATTTTGCAAAATGCCGTCTGCCTTCTTACAAAAGAAACAACAATAATAACATATTATCTAAAACAGTTTGATTAAGTAAAACAGGCAAAATATGTGCTCACTTTATAACAATAACTTTTCCCTGACAAGAGCCTTTGGTACAAGGAAGCAACGTTGTCTTTTTTAATTAAACTGATAAAAGGCCTTTATATACAAAGTTATTAACGGGTTTTTTAAAAGATTAAAATGGAATCAATGTGTTGGTAAATTCGTTTATAAAATGAAATATTATTTCTCGGTATATGATGTTTGTTTGCAGAAAATTATATTTGAAATAAAGTTCCTTCATTGGTTGTGAAAAATAAACAATATATTATTTCTGACTTTCTACCGAAATGCACATGGACTTGTAATAGCAATTTATAGAATGAATACATACATTATTTAGTATAATGTAAATGTGGGCGATATTCGTGTTGTTCGAGTGTACACATTTCTATGAATCCTTAAATCGTTTTGTAATTAAGAAATATTGGAAGTGATAACGAATAAAGTACAAATTATACGGTTATATAGATTGTCCTATTTAGCCGTTCATTGACCTGTAAATACCGTTATATTAACGGTTTGGTTAAGTGTTTACACGAATCTATCCTCACCATGGCTACAGCTGAGGAAACTCTGAAATTAATTAACTATTCTTGTGATAGGTTTGACATAATTGGAGACATGAATGGAGTAATGAGAATATAAATTGACGCCATTAATATGTCCATTAGAATATAAAATTATAGGCATAACGATAAAAAACAAAGATAGAAACAGAAGGCAAGATCACCGGAAATTAGAATAACAACAAACTGATAAATTTCAATGACCACTGACTTTATTTGATTGTAAGATATAATAAATGAAATTTGCTATCAACTGAAAATTACTCGTTCAACGCACAACAGCTTACAATTTATCAATGAGATAATATGTTTTATGTCAGTTTCGGTCCATTAAACTTCTAAATCAAATCATAAGCGTGAACTTAAAAGCATGGATTTGTATTGAAAAGAAAACTATCAAATTAAATAAATGTTATTTAAATGAATTGCTTGTATTGCGACATGCAAGAAAGATAACCGCGGGTTAGGCGTTTGCACAATTAGACTGTCGCGTCGAATAGCTGTAATCACCATAGAAATATTAAGTAAGGACTTAAAATTTGTTTGCAAAACAAGAAGTTAACTGAATAGAGATTAACTTTAAAAGATAGCTATTATTATTTAAGTTTCATATTGAGTGACTGACTATTGTAGTTTCTGGCACCAATCATTCTTTGTTATCCCTTAATATGTAGTTTCGACCAATATAAAATAATAAGCTGCTTTAAATCTAAACAACTATAATACTAAAAGTATTTAAAAGCATAGTGGTACACCAGACAACTCCGTATAAATCTCCTGACTCGAGTTATGTGAAAAGCGTGAGGCTGTCTTATCAAAATGGCAATGTTTGGACCACTTACTGTCAAGAAGCCTTGTCTCTGAACTCTCGAAATCTTTCAAAGTCAGTGCCAATTGTGTAGGAATTTTATTCTGCTTCAAATTTCAATGTACCAGTATTTCATTACTTTTCAAGTTTTTTTTTTTTTACTTTTGTCAGTTGTTTTGTAAACGCCTTAGGATAAACTGCGATTTCAATAGACACCATTGCTATCACATATCCGATTATCTTTTTTATGTCAATGCACTGTCTATATCCGTATGTCATTAATTAACAAAATCTTAAAAGACTAGCCAACTAATTTCTATTTGACTCAAAAGATTAATAACTATTAAAAATATATTATTTAACACTTCTGCTTCATAACGATTATCTTACTGAGGAAATCATGACTGTAATAAAAGAAGAGTTATGTAATCATCTAAAAGATTTATTTTCTACGGAAATAATGAAATAAGTGAGCTGATTATGAGATTCATGATATGAAGCTAGCTGAAACAGCATGAAAATTATTTATTTTTAAACCTAAAATGAAATCGTGAAAAGAAAAAACGCTAGCGTATTTTGCAAAATAATGTCTACAACTACAATATCTGTACGTAGGTATATAATTAAACACTTTCTCAATTTTCACTTGATTTAATTTTCCCTCAACTAAATAATATGTTTGGTTTTCTTCGCTGGTCGTAGATAAATGTCTTGACAGTTAATTAACGTCGGCTTTTTCATAATGTCTAAGGTGGTGACATAGTACGGAAAAAATCTTATACTTGAAGTACAAATATCTTACTTTAATAACCTTTAAAAGATGTTAACCTTATGGCATGTGTGTTTAAAATGGAATTTTCTTGCTTTTATGAGATCTTTGTTCCTGCAGAAACATACACGCGGAACAAATGTCATACGATAAAATAATCTGCGTGAAAATAGAATGGTATCGAAAGGTTGTACAACTTTTTATATATAAATATAATGGGTCATAGAATATTCATTTTTCCTTTCTTGAAATGCGCCATTTCAACATTTTAATACAATGTATTGATTTTTTCTACAATACAACAGTAATTATACCAGATTATTCTATACAAAAAGGAATTGTTCTCAACAACAAGCAAATATATCAATAGACCAATTTCTTTGTGTTTCAAACAAAGCGTTAAGCACACTAAATGAAGAACAATGCTTTGTTTTACTGTAACAAGTTCTTGATAATATCAATAAAATATCATATTCATGTAGCTCCTTTGAACTTATTAGATAAAATTTAATCACGCTCACCAGCGTCCCGCATGATAAAATTTTAATTTAAAATAAGTATCAAACACAATATAAAACAATATCCTCTTTATTTCCAATATAACAGCAGGTCAGTTACAAAATGCATTCACAATAGTGTTTCTCTTTATTGAATTGGCAATCTCCTTAATTCTGGAATTGATAAAAATGGCAGTAAAATTGTGCTGTTTATGTCTCTTATTTTGGCTAATAAAATCATGAATTAACATAATGTAATTTTTTATTTAAAATATGTTGATTTGTTCCATTGTCTAGGATTTGTAAACATGTCTAGAAAAAAACATTTTTAGTGTTGTTAAGTACAGCCTATATATTTAAGCAGATGATTTGTTTCGTGCCTTTATAATGCAGGACATTCGTCTTAAACGCAGTAGAAATGATCAATTATAAATTAGATATTGAATTACATTACACTTACCAACGTTCTTTTTTGTCCACCGAATGAAGTATGCGTTTTGCCTATTCCTAAAAAAATCTCACAAAATCATTGCATAATAACAATTTTGTTGAATAAAGTTCGTACAAAATGTATTTTTAGGTTTTATTTTTACATATTTTAAGTTTAATATGTAGTTTATGTTTTATAGAAAATTAAATTACTATTTGTAGAATGAAAAATGTAATAACACAAATATAATAAAACAATATAATAAAGAAAAACGTGTATTCAAACACTGTCTCAGAATTACAAACTGCTTTTAACCAATAGAAAATATCCATTGTGATATATTTGCTCGTCCAAAAGTCTGTTAACATGTTCTCGTAAGTAATTGAAGTAGTTTACGGCGCCAAACAGACAAACATTATTTTAGAAAGGCATCTGTTCACAAACATGTTTATATCATTAAGAATAATGATAATGTGTTGTCATATTTCATAAACAAATGACACTTCGTTAAAGAGATTATCTGGGGCTATTTTCTGCAACACAACTTGTTATGTTCGAAAGTATGCATATACCATGACATTTGATAAAATGTTCTGACGAAGGGACAAGAGGTTTTAAAGTTCAAACAGATCTTATGTAAAACAATATAATATAGCATAATATTATTTAGCGATTTCGCGCGTTCGAGCGAACAAAAGAACCTTAACTGTATACATATATTTTACTTTCCTTTAAAGGAACATACCTTGTAGCACTTTATATGACTTTGAATAAATGAATGTTCCTTGTTTTTTTTCTAAATCTGCAGATGTGATTCTGGAAACCGTCTCAATTTAAGCAAAATTAATAAATTATACAGGTGTGTCCTTCGTTAAATTCCTATTAGAAAGATATAATACTGTACTTATCCTAGATTTAATATAATACACTACTGAGATGTTGCAAACTGCAGATGAGGACAGACATTATATAGGATAATTTTCGAAAATTGAGGTCCTTTGAACAAAATGAAAATAAAAGTTTGAGTAGGTGAAAACCGGAGACTTTTTGATTGAGTCTTCTTAGAATGGAAAATGGAAAGTGCAAAGTTTCTTACGCTATTAACAACACAAGCAACACTATTCCAAATTATACAACACAAAATTGATGTATTTAAATAATTTATAGTCGGTTATCTTGTCATCTACGAACATTGTTCCTCCGTCTTAAAATGATAAATGCATTTCAAGCTTATTCTAAAGGAAAAAAGCGTTTCACCATTTCGGCTCTCTCTCTCTTCCTTTTTTAATTGGAAAAACGTAGGGCGGTGTCCATTATCACACAACAAATCAATATAAAGCCGTAAACCCTGATTCAATATATGATGGAAATGTAAATGCAAAATAAGATAATTAGATCTATTGATGTTTGAATATATACAATTATATATCTGTACCGCAATATCAGCAATGTTTCTGTTGATATTTATAGTGAGTATTTTCTCAAATAAAATACATTCATGCAAGGTATTGGTTTTCCCTAGCTATCTTAAAATTCATAACTCCGTCATTCACTGGAGAGTATTCGGAGGAATTGGATGTTTTAGATGTGTGTTATCAAATTGTTTCAAATCAAAGGGTGACAAAGTAAACAATTGTATGAGCAATAATATATTACCATTCTGATAATCTTAAAATAATCATACCATTAATGAACAGTTCTTGGACTTACTCAGCAGCGCAAATGACTATCAATATCAAGTTGGAGGGACACAAAATGAGACGGACATGAAATTATAAATAATAATTCGCTATGCTATGTGACAGTGCTAACTTCACTTTTACCATTTATATGTGTGACACGACAATGAGACAGAAGTGAGTAAAATACGGACAGGAGTGGAAGTTTGTTGGTACATCTTCCAAAACATTTTGTTGAATATAAAATAGGTATTTTTATTAAAAATATTATTATGATCTTCCTTAATTTAGTATCATTTTTTAATAAATGAAATATTTACGGCAATGACTGTGTCAGGTAATGATGCCTTCTTATTGTATTTTTGGTCATAAAAATAATTTTAGAATTTCTTTAAACTTTAATTTGCTTCCTATCTGATGATCGTATATAAATATGGAGTACCATCAACTATGTGATATTATAAAGAATGTTAACTGACTTAAACATAGTGTCACAAAATAAACAGAAATAAGTTATTACCAATTTATCACTTTTTTGTGTCGAGCAAAGCAGTTACAAGCTTGTGAATTTTCTAATATCAGAACATAAAAGTGCACATTTAATTGACTTATGAGAAAATTCAGAGATGTAAACTTACACCCACTTTGTTTGATTTTGTTTTCTGAATTTCTACTACCTCCAACATTGTTCGATTTAAAATAACTGACATTTTTCTAAATGTTTGACAACCGGCTAGACTTTAGTAAACTCTAGCATAATGAAATTTGTTAAATATAACTGTTACAAAGTAATATGTCTGTTGCAGAAACACATTGAATTAAACCAAAACTACCATAGAAATATCAAGTTTTTTTTGTTTTTTTTTGCAAAATTACACTTTTTTGTATATGGACTTTAGACCCTGAAATCCAGAAACACTACGCAATCTGTTGATAAAAAAACATTACGGATATATATTTTAAATTTTTGCAGATACGACATTTAAAGCATAAGGAATGCATTATTGTTGAAGTTCATTGCATCTATGTTGTTGTTATGAAGGGTACCCAGCTAAATCTACCAGTGTTAGCAACGTGTCTGTTGTATGTCGGTAAGTTAATCATTTATTCAGTACATAAATGTAAAAATGAAAAAGAAGAGAAAAAAATATTTAAAACAGCCATAGTTTCGAAAATACAGCCTATATACTGTTTTTAAAAATAAAGCCTATATTTTTTAGTTAAATTGTTCGATTTGTCAAAAGGATAAAGAGAAAAAAATTGTTTCAATCCTGTAAAGTACGCGAATTTATGAATGATGTTTGCTATGAACAATGTTTGAACCAAACAGAAACGATATTCGGTCTTTAATTAAATTGAATGAGTATTTTTGAAAACAAATTAAACCTTATTTGATTAATCAAGTGAAGTTTTTTTTTTCTGAATTAAACAAATTGTACAAATTAAACCATATTTGATTAATCAAGTGATTCTTATTTTTTGTGTTTAACTTTTTAAAGGACATATAACCAAGGCCATATAAATCATAAACAAAAATAAGAGCCGTTGACAAGAATGACAAGAAAAGATTTTACTTATTGTAGCAACAAAAGCTTACGCAACGTTCAATTTTCTCACTCGACGTATTGAAATCAATGATCTCGTATTTCTAAAAGATTCCACATCTGTTTATTCCAGTAGTTCTTAAAGTCAAAAGACCAGTATTTATGTATTTAGTTAAACATGTAAAACAAAATACATTAATTTTTTACTTGCATTTTATTTATTTTTATAACTCAGTAACTGTTCAAAGCTTGCGTTGTTGGCATTGTATAGCGGAAGATTGTGCTGAAGATCCCTCCGACAATTACAAAGCTTCTGAAAAATTATGTAATCCTGGACAATCTTGTCAGGTGTGTATGTAATCTTAAATAGTATTTGTGTGTACTGCATGGTATTGTTAGGTATCCTCAGAATGCGAATTTGTCGTGAAGTTCATAAAGATCTATTTCGAAATTCATAGGGATTTAGATATTCAGCTTAAAAGTAAGTGCAATTTCTAGATCTACTCCATGTGACTCGGTGTTCTTGTTGCTTTTTATTCATTTTGTAAAGTTTTCCACCATGCATTGCAACTAAACTGTTACATCTTGTAGATCCAGCTTTGTAAAATAATCATGAAACGACCCCGAGAATATCATGTACATTTTAGAAACATGACACGTGCTTTCTCCCGTTTATCTTCAAATGAACAGTACTTCGGGAATGGCTACGGAAAATAAACAACAGACACTTGCCGTAGAGAAATTAAACTTTGTTTTTACAAGAAAAGCAAACATAAATCCTTTCAAGGGTGACTTTTTTTAGTTTCCAAAAAAAGTTTTAATTTTTATTCAACGTCGTTTTGTTAATTCATACAAGGTAAAAGTTCATTTCCATTTTTAATGGGACAGACTATAGTCATTCGTTTTTCCTTGCAGATCTTTATAAAAAGAACATTGAAAATTCAGCATTATATTATAGCATTAGTTATTAATTTAATATATATATCATATTATTTAACTACTTTCCCTTTGTAAGTTTGTGGCTTACATCATGTACATGTACCAGTATCGATTTTACCGTACAGATGGAACATCAAAAAGTGATATTTTATGTTTTTTTCCAATGTATTATTGATGAAAACCTTATCACACAAATACATAATAAACGTAAATATGATGAATTGATATTGCTCATTTTGGACAACGTTGCAATATTTTTAAACTTTTTTGATAAAAAAAGTGTATAGTGTAACTAGCACGTAAGATTTATTTCACGCTACAAATGATAGGAACTTATCTAGAAGATGGTGATTGGCACCTGTCAGTTTCAGACAAAATAATTATATTTCCTGGAATTCTACATCTCTTAGATAGTTGTTATTGTATATAAATGATCTTAAAGGGGTTTCCTTAATCTCTTTCGTTTAACGAGAATTTTCAGTTTTAAGTTGTCGATTATAAAAGGCGTTCACAGTGTAGTTTGATTCAATGATGTATTTTATATTCGAAAGTTCTATTTAATTTTTAAAGATTTCAATGTTAATTTTTTTATATCAACTATGATAAAACATGATTCAAATAATTGATGCAGGACATTATTGCAGGAAACTAAAGTTTTAGTTTTTTATGAACATTTCAGTATGACTACATCTCTAGCTTCTAAATTGCGTTCGTTTGTTACTTTTTACCAAGATTTTCACACATAATTATATTGGTGATATCTTGGTGGTCAGTCCATCTAACTAGTATAACTAACATATCTCCACAAGTAACTGACTGCTTATCTCACATGATTAAATCAGAGAAAATTACTATGATACTCAATGTCAGATATCAATGTTCACGGAGAAATTTGGCTTAGACCGATGACGAATTAGCGATAACTTATTTACAAATATGATGCTCTCCCGGACGGTAAATCCATATAAAACATTTAAAATATATATGTATATCACTTTGAATAGTAATTGAGCTGTACACAACATTACAATTACTTAGTTTACAAAATCAAAATGATAATCTGTTTTTCAGAAAGTGTACTTTGAAATGTTAGAAGAGTCAGATGAAGGAAGACCCGTTGCTATGCATACCTCAACAGTTCGTGGCTGTTCTACAGACTGTATGGACAGAAATGATTTTACAAATTGCACGAATCAGTTAAAGACATCACGTGGTTGTGTTCGAAAGGACTGTTGCAATGATGGGGATTTGTGTAACAGTACATATCAAATTTCATATAACTGTTATTCTGTGATATTTTTAATGTGCCTACATATACCATTGAATACTTTTTGACTCATGAAACGTGACTTCATCTAATATTACTCTGAATGTAAGATATTCTGTTGCAAAAGCAAGTGTTTATCACAGCTTTTACATAAAGTACATGAATATGCAGCATAAATAGTATAAAATTGTATTGAATTTACATTTCAATTGATTGTTACATGAATAGAAACAAATCAATTATCTCATTCAGTCTGATTATTTTTGTTTTGGTTGGAAATTAATCAAGCGTTATATCTAACATGTCAGTTTCTCCGCTTTATTGGCGTTATTGCACTATTGCTGCAAAACATATATCAAACATCGTTCAATTGACAAATAGTGTTAAATTAACAGGTTTTTTTCATTTAAAAATATATTGCATATTCAGTTCAAGTTGTTATATAGCGTTTAAGCTCTAATCACAATGTGAATTTTTACATCATCTTAGGCGTCAACCCTACACTTATTTCTATTAAACGTGAAACAAACTAAATTTCGTTTGTATTACTGTGTTTAAACAACCTTTATTATAAAAAGCGATAATACCTTTTTTTCGTATGCCTATGAAATTTTGTTTTCTTTATAAATATGTAGATGTTAATATGTTTCAGGACAATGTTAATGTATCGTGTGTAACTGACGATTATGTTAGTAAAACATGAAAAAATAAACTTTTAAATTATAACAAATTCTACTGAACATTTTATCGTTGTCCCGCACAAGCTAGATTATTCCAAAGGGTAAACAAGTTGAGTTTTTTAATACTTTGATATTTTAGTTATTCAAAATTTCATTATCTCTATCAGTTAAATTTGAGAACAATTTATGTTTACTTTGCTTTTAATACATTTTCTAATTTTACCGGGATATCCTGTTTTGCACAGTTTATTATTTTCTGAACGGAGAGTTTAAATTCATTTATATTTAAGTCGATGAAATGCTGTTTTGTATTCCTTACCTAATATCGGTGAACCTCGTGATATTTTAATAAAGTTAGGAAAGGAAACCGGGTGTCAAACTAAAATTTAACATTGTATCACAGTGGAAAATATTGTACAATTTATTGTGATGTATTTGTATGTCAATGCTCATTCAATCATTGGATTTACAATTCAATTGTTCAGACTGAAAGTTATTTCTCCAGGTGATAAGCTGTCACTTGCGTACCGGACATTTATTTCAATTTATAAAAAACATACACTAGTATATCTTCATTTTGCCAACAGTTTCTTGAATGATTTGATTAAAACGATCAAGAGTGAACACTATTGCAACAAAACGCCCTCTGGCCATTGTATTTTTAGCGGACCGAATATCTTCGTACGAATATCTTCGTATGATCCTGAACAACTTTATGGATACTTAACGATTCTGGCATGTTCCTTTTATTTCATTTTGTAAAATGCTGTACGCTCGCTAATGAAAAAACAACAGAACAATCATAACTAACATGTTTTCTAAAACATTTAGATTTAATAAAACGTATAAGCTAATATTACCTTATTTTATAACAATAACTTTTCCCGGACAAGAGACTTTAGAACAAGGAAGCAACGTTGTCTGTTTTAATTAAACTGATAAAAGGCCTTCATATACAAAGCCATAAACGGGGTTTTTAAAAGATTAAAATGGAATCAATGTGTTTAAAAAATCGTCAATAAAATTTTCGGTATATGGTGCATTTTTTACAAGAAAGCTATTTTATTTGAAATAGACTCTCTATATTATCTCTGATTTTCTGTCAGAATGCTCATGGACAAGAAATTGTTTCTTGTAATAGCAATTTATAAAATGATTATTGAATCTGCCTACTTGGGAATATCAATGTGTTTAAAAAATCATCAATAAAATTTTCGGTATATGGTGCATTTTTTACAAGAAAGCTATTTTATTTGAAATAGACTCTCTATAGTATCTCTGATTTTCTGTCAGAATGCTCATGGACAAGAAATTGTTTCTTGTAATAGCAATTTATAAAATGATTATTGAATCTGCCTACTTGGGAAATATCATATTATCGGAATAATAAGACGTATGTGAGATATATATTATTTAGTTTAATGTAAATATTGGCGATATCCATGTGGTTTGCGTATACAAACTTCTATCGCTTATTAAATAAGAAATATTGGAAGTGAAAACGTATAAAGTACAAATTATACGGTAATACAGATTGTCCTATTTAGCCGTTCATTGACCTGTAAATACCGTCATATTAAGGGTTTGGTTAACTGTTTACACGAATCTATCCTCTTCAAGGCTACAGCTGAAGAAAATCTGAAATTAATTGCCCTGTTGTAAATTCGTGTGACAGGTTTGACATAATTGGAGACATGTGCGGAGTAATGAGAAAATAAATTGACGCCATTTAGATGTCACTTGGAATATAAAATTATAGGCATAAAAATAAAAACAAAGATAGAAACAGAAGGCAAGATTAGTTAAATTGAAATTACGACGGACAGATAATGTTCAATCATCGGTGTTAACGTCAAAGCATGGATTTGTATTGAAAAAAAAACTCTATAAAACTAAATAAATGTAATGTATTGTTTTGTATGAAAGGAACTCAACTGAGGTTTATGTACATGACGGGACTAGGAAAAAAATATTTTCAAAGTTTTTTTTAACCATTTGATGTAGGTCTGGACCAATAACTTATGTGCACATTTTTAGATCATTCCAACACAACCTTTTTCAGGAATAATTTTTATTGTCCAAAATTACCAAAGAAAAAGCGGAAAAGGTTCCAAAAATCGGTAAAAATTGTTTCGATTTTCAATGACATTCTGAACATATTTCTCCATTAACCTTCGCCGGTTTCTCCATTTTAAGTGTTTAACTCCATCAATGTAAGAATTTTGAATTTTAAATTTTAGGTTTGCTGACCGCCAATAATCAAGTAAATTCAAATTTCGAATTTTACTTTATTCGGTCATATCCATTTATTAAAGCAACGAAAATTCCTTGGAGGAGATATAACACAAACGTAATAGAATGAAAATCTGAATGGATGGTTCCCTCGGAAGTAATGAAAATGACGACATTTGAAATGAAAATTGCAGACTCGGTTTTAATAGTTTGTTCATGAGCGATATTTGGGAAAGTGCGCTCCTAGTACCGGTTTAACGTGCTGGAATCAAAGATCCAGAAGAACTTTAAAATATAGAAACACTGAAGTGAAGTATGGGTTACTTTTTACAGATGCCTCACGGGACATGCCACCTGCCGTTGTGAAGTATGAAAATGTGGGAAAAGGGTGATCCCTCGGAAGCAATGAAATGAAATTTGCAGGCTCATTTTGAAAGAGTCTGTTCATGAGTGATATAGTCAAACTGCAACATCGTTCACACCCCATAGCACCGGCTTAAGTTGTATTTAATGAGTTTGAATCAATGCTCACGAAGGACCAGAAAAATATAATAACAGTGAAGTACGAAGCACTTTTTACAGCTGACACAGGGTACTTGAAACATGCTGTTGTGAAATACAAATCTTGATCCTTGAAGTTATGAAAATTGAAATGTCGGTTCGGCTTAATCTAATTATAGATATTAAAGTGATTACATCATTTAATTACTCATTGTAGCAACGTTTTACGTCACACTCAACACGTTGAAATCAACATGATCTCGTTATGAGATCGTACATCTGAAATATACCAGCGGTATATCAGCATTTCAAAACTTTTGTAAGATATTTATATTCATACTTAAAGTTAATACAAAATGTGATAGTTGAAAGATCAAAGACCCAACAAATGATTGAAAGACAAAATAGGAAATTCACAATTAACGATATAGAAAACACATCTGATACCCTGTGCCAATGTTGTACCTTACCGTACATCGATCAAGTGCCAATGTTGTACCTTACCGTACATCGATCTTACCGTACACATGAAACATCAAAGGTAATATTTTCCCGGGTTTCCTATAAAATCGTGATAAAAATCAAATATCAAATTGATGTTAATATTGTATATCAATATTGTAAATTTAATGAACAAACCATTCATGATGAAAATGGGGAACACCGTATTCAGTGGTTAAGTTTATGATTTTTATGTTATTAATGACAAACACTTCTTTAGAAGTTTGTGTTTGTGATTGGCACCTGTCACTTTTAGACAAAGTAATTATAATTCTGGGAATTCTACTTCTCTTAGAAAGTAATTATCTATATCAATGAACTTCAGGGGGATTCATTTATCTGTTTTTCGAGAGGACAGCTTTCTATTTGAAAATAAGATCAATTTTTACAGTACTATGGTTCTTTTGGCACGACAAGAAGGAAATATTTTTGGAGGCATGTGGGCCATTTGATGTTGGTCCTCAGTTATATCTCGTTTGCTAAATCCTCTCTGTTACTACTGAATTGTTTAACATTCGAAATTTGATCTTTCTGACGATGTAATTCTTTTTTTCCCTTTTTTCTATAAAGCATAATAAAAGACGTATCTATCATTCAAGACAAGTTTCACTTTTCACCATTTATATTTTATGGAAGTTTTAGCCTTAAAGAATTTTAAATAACAGCAAATCCATCAAATATATTTACATTACATGTATATAATAATTATTCTGAAATGTTTCGTATAAAATATGAAAAAGATGAATAAACAAATGAGAAAGGGTGATATAAGAAGATATCAAAATTATAACTTTAAATTCTAAAGCAGAAATAAAAATATAAAGTTTAAACCAGGATTAGTTGTTGCTAGCCTTTGTACATTTTGTGTTTACTGAAAATGCATACCCTTATGTATTATCTTACCACTACCAAGTAAACAAAACTGTACTACAGAAAATATACATCTGTAGATTTAATTATCGGACAGTCACGCAACCTGGAAGAGAACCTGATCAATGACAAACATATGACGAAGGGAAAACTCTGTACTACATGAACATCAGGCCAATGTTATAATGATGAAATCTTACATTTCTCTGAAATCTGATTTTAGGAAAAGTTTTATTTCTCTTAGTCGTGTATGATTCATTCTGTCATTGTTTATCAGTATTTATAGGAAAGTAATACAGTTGTTTACAACAGTCTTTCTCCAATGTGCTAAAATTATAAAGTCAACTTTAGATTCTGTTAGATAAATATCTAGAAAAAAGCAATCCCCTCGGAAGCATTAAAAACAGCAAAATTACATAACAATTGCAGACTCGCTTTAATGAAAACTTCAGCATTTGATTCTGTTACATTAAGCAGCTGGTAACTAGTCACTTCTAAATTTCAGTTTAATTAACGTGTATTAATACAGATGTGCCTTCTTTTAAACTACAATTTGAGAGACAAATCTTAATACAAAACATGAATTTGAATATAACAAACTACTCAAAAAAATAAAGCTATCCAACCAGCTACAGAATGTAGGTGATTCTACCCAGATGCTTGAAATAATACACTGATGGAGCAACTGAGGTCTTCTTCTGCCAATTAAGCTTGAGAGTCGCCATATGGCCTATACTGTATTAATTGATGCAACGTAAATAAATAGAAATTCACTTTTATTTTGTTTTTACCTGTCAAATTACTAAATTTTCACAGTTTCATAAGAATCAATGCAATATCAAAATATGTCTATACTCGTATAATTTCCATTCAACAAAAACGTGTTTCCCTCACTAAATGTGTACTGCCTTTCTGAGCTTTGATTTTTCCCCTCACGTTTTGACAGAATAATGCTTCAAAAAGACTCAATTGAAGTAGAAAGCAAAAAACAAAAGCAAGAGCCGGTAAACCGGGTGATGCTCCCCGAATAGGTTTTGGACACAGGAAGGTATACCTCTTGTAGTGTAAGAGTTATGTCACAGACAAAGTTCAAAGTGTAAAAACAACCCAAATGTTGCGCGTGACACATTGTCTCAATATGGTGATCATTTCTGTGAAATAGTAGTAAAATCCCACTTTAAATCACGAAGTAATGGGCCGATCACAATTTTCCTGCAAGGTCA